GATTGCTATTAAAGGTCTTATCAATGAGCAAAATGCCAAGCTGTGTCTCGAAGAACTAAACGCCATGAATGAGAAAAGAGTAGAAACTCAGAACACATAAAACGTTATGAAGCCAAATTGTCTAAGACATTCACCCAAAAAACCCAATCAAGGGCATTTTAAGTTGAAGATGTAGTGTCAACTGTTTTAAGGTCAATTGTCATTACTCGATAGGTCAATTGTCATTACTCGATAGGTCAATTGTCATTACTCGATAGGTCAATTTTGTCTTATCTTTTGTATTATTGTTGAGTACAACTCGTAAATAATTTTGTATGTTGAGTTGTCCCGGTGATGATACAGACGTTATCCATACAGTATGAAGTCTTCAAACATTGCATCTAAGAAATAGATTTGTAAAAGGGAATACACTACAATCTCACTGAAGTCAGAGGATTATCTCCGTTTCTTTAGAAATGAAATTGTTGTAGTTAGTCGATAAATTAGGTGATGCTTCCGCTTTCCCTATTTATTAGTTTAAAAGTACGAACGATCGGAAAGAATCAAGGTTTGTCAAAAGTATTTGTTCCTTTACAGAAGCACCAAAGAAAAATCTCATCCAAGGAGTGAAGAAAACGAAGGGCTAGTATCTCTGTAGTATCTGCATCTCCCAATGTAGGAATATAAGAGTATATCATTCTCTCGATGTTGAGTCTCTGTATCTTTCATCAGAATAAGGTTGCTTCACTTTCTCTTTTGTATTGATAAGAGAATCAGAACTAGCATAAATTTGTGTTTCCATTGACTTGCCATAAATTTGCTTCTGTTTTGAGGAAAATTTAAACCTTAGAAGCAAGGAATTTGCCATTACGCCTATGGAACTCAATCCCATAAGTGCTCCAGCAATTGAGGGGGTCAGAATGGTCCCAGTTATTGGCAGTAACATTCCAGCAGCTATTGGAATTCCAACCTACATTGCAACATAAGCAGGTCAGGTGATTGTCGACCAGAGCAAAGCAAACAAATAAAGTCTTTTTTTTTTTTTTTCCTAACAGGAGTAATGTAAGAACCAATAATAGAAATAGTAACAGGAAACACCGTTAGAAATTTCTAGTGTTTTAAGCATCTTAAATGGCAGATTACAGTAAAAGGGAAAGGTTTTAGACATCCATATATTATGAATCTAAGATAAGAATCTACTGTCATTCACAGATAATGTGTATTTTTTGTTTAGTATGTTTACACATATCTCTATGAAAAACTTAATGATAACATTTCAGTATCTGCTTTGGAATAAAACCGCCGAAGAAACTTCATAAATAATCCTGTGTGGCAATTTACCCCCAGCTAGAAGGAATGCCACATGATATCTTACCTTGGTATCTGTTTTTGTAATCTTTTTAGTATGGAAGTACATAAATAATGTAGAGAACTCACAATGTTGTATGCAAATGCCCACCAAAGATTCTGCTTTACAGTCTTCATGGTTAGCCTGCTCAGCTCCAGAGCATCAAGCAACTGGATATAGTTGATCTAAGTCAATTTCCAAACAATAACTCTCCAAATCGACATCCACTAGAAAAATTTCTTGTAATTTGGACAACTAAACAATGCCTACCTTGTGGTCAACATCTTCTAAAAACAAAGAAGCTATTTATTAGTTATTATAGAATATCTTCCATGATATTATCACTATGGCATGGCAGTAATCCCTTTAACTAAGGGAATGTCTAGTCTCAGACCCCTGATTCTAGGAACTCCTTTTAAGCAGGAAATTCATCTTCAATACTGGGAATTTCTAGTCCCAGACCCTGATTATGGAAACTCATTTTAATTTAAACAGGAAATTCATCTCAAATAATGCTTGTGCTATTTGGCACCTACTTTAGCAATAAATCATGTGTTGAAATTCCTTGTTAATGATATGGAGAAGAAACCAACTGAAAAAAATGTTAAGAAAATAACTTTTAAATCTTTATATGAAAATGATTTCAATTCCAGAGCCAGAAGTTCATTGAAGAATACCTGTGACAGCCTGTTTCCCATCAGTACAACAGAGGAAACCTCACCAGCAGCACCAACACCCCCACCCATTGCAACCCCAACATGTGCTGAAGCCAAGGCAGCAGCATCATTGATGCCATCTCCAACCATTGCTACAACATTTTGATTCTTCTGCAGTTCATTTATGAACTTCCTCTTTTCATTTGGTTTGACTTCTGATAGCACCTAAAATGACAACACACACTACACATTTGAAGTTTCATATAGCATTTGTTCGCTTTTAAAGATGGTGAAAGTAGCACCAAAAATATAGTTTTAATGGTAGCCTAGGACCAATCTTATTTATGAGAGTTTGAAACATTGTTTCAATCTGCCAAATGCATATATCCACCATCTCATCATCCATTGATGAGTTGTTGAAAAAAAGAGATGAAGGATCAAATATGCAACATTAAGGAATTTGGTAAAAAGATTAAACAGTTAAGCAAATCAGGATTCTTCAAAATTCACCAAATATAGATGCTATCAACTTCTTCAAAATTCAGCACA